CTCTCTTTTTTAATCAATGGTTTTTTTTTTTTCCCCTTAATCCCAAATCTTCCATTTTTTATTTGGAAGTCTCTTGAAATCATGAAGTCCTTGTCATTTTTTAATATGAGATGATATAATTATGATTATAATGGAGCTTCTGCTTCTACTATTGATAAAATCCCAAAGATATATAATCATATTCCATCTAATTCCAAACTAATATTTAATTTCACGGGCATTCCAGGACTTTAAGTGCACTTTTGTAGACACTTAACACTTCATTTGAAAAGGGACACTGAAATTAATTTCTCTTCCTACTGTCGAGGTTACTCTGATGCACCCAACTCATCTAAAATGTTCAAAGCCTAATGCTGTCAAAGGACTTGTCATGAAGAAGAATTCTGTAAATCAAAATTGAACTGAAATTTTGATCCAAATCCAAATATGTTTGGAGCACTGACATGCACACTTTGCTATTCTAAATGTGGATTCAAGTTGTGGAGCTGAAAATGTTGTTGATACCATTTAAAATACTTGACATACTGTGTCTTAATTATTGGCAGCTGAAAGCCAATCTACACATCAGCAGATTTCAAACTCCTAAAGTTCATATTTTCTACATAAGGTGCAAGTACAGCTCCTAGAATTCTGATCTGATATAGCTAATGGATGCTAAACTAGTTTCTTCATGTATTTATTTCACATATTTTTATACACAGGGCTCTTGGCACAGTATCTCACCGGAGTTTACACTATTCAATACACCACAATCAATAATATGAATTAAACCTAATTAGGAAATGAAAAAGTACTGTAGTACAATATTAACACAGTCAAAAACGTGCTCTAGGTTAAAATCAGGCATTTCAGAGTCAGGCATCCTGGTCTCAAAATGGCTGGAAGTCACTAGCTGGGAAAAAACAATATGATATTCTTGGCTGGTATTAATTTGTTTATGGTCCACTCAAAAGCAAAATGAACATTTCTATTGCTACAGAGTTTACTCCATAGGGGAATACTCAGAGTTTTCATATCCCTTTCCTGCAATCCAAGATGATACTGTCATTTGGCAGAACGTGAAAGATCTTGCGATTCCTGCTAAACGTAGTCAAAGAAGAGTTATGCTAGTTATGGCTTTATCCGTTGGCTTTCACCAGGGCTTAATCACAATTTTGTTTTTGCTAGATTATGCTTTTTATGTACAGTTTCAACTTGTCCTCCTCCCCAAGAGGTAGTAGTGTTTTCATATTTCATTTAGTTTTCTTCAAGGTTAGTGAAGGGCCCGCAAAGTTTTTAAATGAGCTGCGTTATTTCAGCATTTAGTATTCCTCAGCAATAACCCCTATTGATTTACTCACAGGAAACTGGATATGGTTTCAGTCTAAGTTGGGTGAACTCTGAATAAAGTACTATGAGACAACAGAGTGAAAGGGATTTGTGTTGTGCATAGACTTGAGCTAATAAATAGCATTTTCAAGAAGCTAGCTACTAAGAGAATATGTTTTGTCACTCATGCCCAGCGTTGGTCTGGTAGACCCAGTCTTCAAATTCCCACATCCTGTTTCTTTTGACGGTTAGTTTATAAGCTTCCCCGCTGGCTTTGGGCCTTGCTAAATTTATTTTATCTCTGGGGCTTTTTGTTTACTTTTTAAAATGCACTCTTTGTTTGTCTCTCTTCATCTGTCTCTTTTTGCCAGTACAGTTTGTTGACTGGAGCTGAATTTTGTCATCAGTGCACAGACTGTTCGACTTTATGCATTGTTTCCTGGTTCAAAAAGCTAATTACTAAATGCCTTGGAGAAGCCCTTTGCTCACGTACATCTTTCATCAGAGCATAGGAGTTTGGGAACGGCAGAGTGAAAAGCCATTAGCAGCCCTATGTTTGATATTGCTTTTGCAGTCAGTAGAACAAGATTGATGAAATGTTATGTTTGGCTGAAAATTTGAGTTTTCCTTTGGAATTCAACATTGAGGGAATGGGCTGTCAGAACCAATAAGTTTTCCATTGCTTTGGATAAAAGGCATGTGGTAATAATTAGCAGTATTCGGCCTTTAGCTGAACAACTCAGCATAGACCCTGGCAGCAAACTTAATGAAAGAATACAGTTCTGCAATTCCTAATGTCAAAAAGTTTCCAGATAAAATGTAATGTATTTGAAAAACTGGAGCCACTAAACTTTGTTGAAAGATGTTATTCAGAGTCTAATGGAGAATGTTCTTCCCTCAGAAAGAAGTATTCATTAAGTACCTTTGTTTAAACATACTATTTAAATAATATATAAATGTTCTATTATGTGCAGTATGGAGCTTAAAACAAAGCAAATACCATCAGGCTGTTGTTATACTGTATAGAATTGTTTTGATCTGGAATGTATGTGTTTCATTTATTTAAAGAAATTATATGGCCTCCCTTTCACAGCAGTGACATTAGGTGGCCTACAAAGATTGAAACTCACCAATTAAAACAATAATCCATGGCGCCTCAGCTAAATAACACCTTCCAATCATAAAAACACATCAACAACAGGGCTAGCCTAACCTCCTGGCCTAAATGCCTGGGGAAACAGCCAGCTCTTCAGAGCCTTACAAAAGGCCAATAAGGTCGAGGCCATCTGGATCTCTGGGGAGATGCTGTTCCACAAGGCAGACACTGCCACAGAGGAGGCACAACTCCTGGACCCAACAAGATGACATTGTTTAACGGACGGCTCCCAGAGCATCCCCTCTCTGCTAGATCTGGTTGGGTGAGCAGAAACAATGAGTGAAAGGGAGTCCCACAAATAGCCTGACCCTGTGCTATGCAGGACCTTATAGGTGACAACCAGCACCTTGAATCTCATCCAGAATCCCTAACTTCTCAGGGCCTTCCCATCCATGTCAAGAAATGATGAAACAATCAACTGAGGTAGAACAAAATGATAGAGAATGCTACCAATTTGTCAAGAACGTGCTGAAATCTGACACAGTTCAGAATTTCACAATGAGATTGGTAATTCAAAATGTGTACCAAAATATGTACATAAATGAAGGGCGTGCACAAAAAGTTTGCAGTTGTCTATCACCAGGAAATTTCTGACTCTGGCCAGACAAAATCAAATGACTATAATGTCAAGGGCTGTGCTGTGTTTCAGAAATAATCACAAAAGGTGCTTTGGAGCACGAAGGAGCATGAAAGCACCATGTGTCTCACCTCTTTTCAGCAGCCACTTCTTTCTCAGGATAGCGCGGCTGTTTTCTGCAGATGCCACATGGTCCTGGAAAAAGATGCAGCTGTTCTAAGGAGCCACAGATAGTTACTATATTCAGGACCCGACACTCTGAAGCACTTTTTTCTAATTGAATCTGAAGTGCTTCATTGTCCTAATAATGACACTATTTGCATACATGTCTAGTATAATTATTGTTGCAAGCAGAAGGAGAAAATCCACTACTGAACCATGAAGTAAGTCAGTTCAGTATCATTTCACCACCACACAACTGTATGTGTGCCTGTGCCATTTAAAATATTTGAGTTCATTCCTGAGTGAGTTATTTTAATTAATTTATCATATTAAGACCCTCTCTCCTCAAGGAAGATAATTGCCCAATGATCATCCAAAAATTGGATATTCTCAAATGCTACTTTGAGGCATATCTCTTCCTTTTTTGCATATATTTATTTATTTATTTATTATTTTATTTTATTTTATTTTATTTATTTGTGCGCCATACAGCATTTCTAGGCCATCCCCTCTCAACAG